AGACCTCCTTAGGAGATAACCTTCATTCTTAATCTTGTAAGTAGTCATGATGACACACCACTTACTTTGTACGACGTGCACATCTGGAGTCTGTAAACTGTCAATATGTCATTTGATGGATAACCTTTTTTCTCAAGAACTTATATAATTGTGCTTTGACTTCTGATGGGCAGAACAGTCCTCAGGTTGGCTCAAAAAGATCTTTCCATGTCTTTCTTAGATTTGACAATTGATCTTTTTTGTTGTTGGCACTAATCTTACCTATTATTTTTTCAAATGCATTTTTTAAAAGATATATTTATCCATTGTCTGTGGTGGGTCCTTATTGCAGCGCTCGGGCTCCTCACTGCAGTGGCTTTTTCTCAGGCACGGGCGTTTCAGGAGCTGTGGCTTGCGGGCTCTAGTATGCTGGCTTAGTAGTTGTGGAGCTGGAGCTTAGCTCCACATGTGGGATCTAATCAGTGTCCCCTGCATTGCAAAGCAGATTCTTGCCCACTGGACTACCAGGGAAGCCCTCCAAATGAATTTTTAAAATAAACTGACCTGTTCCTCTTCCTCCCTCTCCAAAAAAACAAAACAAATGCTGCTGGTATTTGTACTGTGATCACGTTAAATATACAGATTGACCTAATTTCTTTTTGACAGTCTTTTTACCCAGCATCATTGTATGTTTTTTTTTCTTCATTTACTCTTTATGACAACTCTACAAGAAGGGTCTGTTATTGTGGCCATTCTGTTGTTATTGCCATTTTACAGATCACAGAACTGCGTCGTTCGCTCTGGGTCACGCGGACCGTTAGGAGTGGGAGCTGCCACCACCAGGCCAGCCAGAAAGTGGGGGGGGGGGAGGGAGGCACCTCCTCTTTGCATCCTGCTACTTAGGAGCAGTTTGCCTCCAAAGCAAACGATGGCTCCTCTGTCTCGCCCACCTCCTGTCCCACTGCTTCCCTTGCTGTGGACGCTCACCAGCAAAGGTAGGCTTTTAAGTCAATGAAGCAAATTCAAGTGCTACACCAGGGGTGCCGTTCGTTGTGGCTGCGCAGCTGAGGCAGCTGGGGAGAACCCTGAGGCGGAAGAACTCAAGGCAGACTTTGAACAGTCAGGCAGAATTTGGATGGGTGGAGAGGACAGGAAAACACAACCTGCAAGAGGAAATGGGTAAAAACCAATCTGATGTCTAACTGGGAGGTGGTTGGGTGCTGATGGGAGCTCCTGTTGGAGTTGAGGGATAGAGAGGTTCTCTGCGCTGCCCATGAAATGACATCGTAATTCTCCCCAGGTAATCTGCCAACAGACATTTGGGTGATGGGTGTAAACTCAAAAAGACTCATTCCCTTCTGCCCGCGAGGGAAAGTCGCCATTGCAGATGCAAAGTCCTTACAGGAAGGGCCTGGCAGCTGGTCTTAGGGGCAGAGCATGGAGTTGTATGTGGATTACTGAGCCCCCTGTAGTCTGTGACAGGCTTCCCAGGTGGCCCAGCGGTTAAGAACCTGCCTGCCAATGCAGGAGATGCAAGAGACGCAGGTTCGATCCCTGGGTTGGGAAGATCCCCTGCAATAGGAAATGGCAACCCACTCCGGTATTCTTGCCTGGAGAATCTCATGGACCGAGTAGCCTGGCGGGCCATGTACAGCCCATGAGGTCACAAAGAGTCAGACACGACGGAGCACGCAAGCACTATAGTCTGTGACAGGGACACAAATCAAAAAATAAAAAACAGAAAAGCATTCAAGAATTCAACAGAGGGGTCAACATTAGTCAGGGTCTGATACCCCTGGCGTCCTCTGGGCTACGTGCCCAAGGACCTAGCGATAACTCACCCTTTGGCCTTTGGTGGATGGGAGGAAGGCTGGAGCCTGGGGCCCCACGGCCCACCACTCATCCATTTTGTCAAAGATAAAAACATCTTAATAGTTAACTAACAAAAAATCTTAATAACTGACAAATAAACAAAGCAGGAACTAAAGTGGTAAGGACAGCTTTTAACCAATATATTATCGATATACACTGCAACTTGGATTTACACAGAGGTGACTGGGCGCCTTACAGGGAGAATGGGAAAGTGTGGAGGGAGGTGAGCAGAGAAGTGAAAACTACAAAGGGTGGGTCAGTGTACACGCTGATTAGGCCAGCTCTATCTGTTAGCTGGCAAGCGCGGAAGTCAGGATTCTACCCTCCCACAGAGACCCTGTTCTGTCCAGTGATGATACTCCAAAGGCATGCTTTCAGGTCCTTGAGAAAGACAGGTGACACATATACATTTGATGCGCACCTTAAAGGGAAAGGAAGAAGTCACAACTGTAAGCCTTTTTAGTGAATGCTCTAAGAAGGGGTGGGGGGTAATTACAACTGGTATTGCCTAGAATAAACAGTAAATTTTTGAGCTTTATCAGGCAGGCACTTTAAAGGGGGGATAGAGTCATCCCAGGGATACGGCCTTGAGATGTTAGAAACTATGTTACTGTGTTTAAGTCTTTTAACATGGGGGCGGGGGGAGGTTGTGTGTGTTAGTCGCTCAGTCGTCAGTCATGTCCAACTCTTTGTGACCCCATGGACTGTAGCCCGCAAGGCTCCTCTGTCCATGGAATTCTCCAGGCAAGGAGACTGGAGTGGGTAGCCATTCCCTTCTCCAGGGGATCTTCCCAACCCAGGGATTGAACCCTGGTCTCCTGCACTGCAGGCAGATTCTTTACTGTCTGAGCTACCAAGGAGGAGGGTGGCTAAAGTCATCTGTGTTGAGAGTACAGTTGTTTGGTTTTGCGGGGGTGGTTTTGTGGCTGTGCTGTGTGGCATGTGGGGTGTGATCTTAGTTCCCTGACTAGGGATTGAACTGCAGTGGACCAACGGAGTCCTAACCAAGAGTATAGTTTTTATAGGCCAAGGTTGAGACATACTGGAGAAGAGGGCCTGCAGGAGCCTGGTTAGAGTTTGGTGGAGCAGAGAACTTGATCATCTCACAGCTGAAAGGGTCTGAGATCGTGCCAGAGGGTAAAGGTGACCAAGTTTCCCCTTGGAGTTCTATAGCTCCCAGAACATCAGGATAGCAGGTGGTTAAGGGTCTACCCAGGTAGGTATGGTGTGAGAGTCACTTTCAGATACCTGACAAGTCAAGAATCCACCTTCTCACCTCAATCCTCCAGCCTGTTATAGGTCATAGAACACCTGGAAGCAGAGGATTCTACGGAGCTGACCCTATCCTAGAGGTTTGAGATCTCAACCCCATAGTTTGGGGAGTAGCACCACACCCAACAAGCTCCCCTTTGAAACAGAAAACCTTACCAGCTCTGAAGAGAATGCTAAGGGCTAAGGACTGGGACGTCTTTCAGGCTCATGTGGAAAGTGAAAGTCGCTCAGTCATGTCTGACTCTTTGCGACCCCATGGATTATACAGTCCATGGAATTCTCCAGGCCAGAATACTGGAGTGGGTAGCCTTTCCCTTCTCCAGGGGATTCTCCCAACCCAGGGATCAAATCCAGGTCTCCCGCACTGCAGGTGGATTCTTTACCAGCTGAGCCACATGAAAGTCCAAGAATACTAGATTGGGTAGCCCTTCTCTAGGAGATCTTCCCGACCCAGGAATCGAACCAGGGTCTCATGCATTGCAGGCGGATTCTTTACCAACTGAGCTATGAGAGAAGCCCTCAGGTTCATATAGTATTTTCCTTTTACTGCATCAACTGATTGATTTATTTAAATTAAAAAGAACTTTTTTGTGCTAAACTAGCCTGAAACCCCACTTTCTATGGCCTGACTTTTCTGAGGCTCATATTATCCCACAGCAGGCTTGTCCTTGAAGGACAATGCCAGAACTCTAGCCAACAAACGCCAATAGGCGGGGTTCTCAAAGTGGTTCCTCAAACCAGCCTCTACTGACGACGTGTTAGAAAGGAAAACTCTCAGAGCCACCCTGGAATTAAAGCAACAGCAACGGAAGGGGTATGGGTCAGCTATGTTTAAACAAACTCTCCAGGAGATTCTAATAGACGCCTGTTAGAGAACCAGCGACTTACAGGCCTCCCTCTGCCAGAAGGGATAAAGCTTGGAGGGCAACCGGGCGTTTCATTAACAATTTGAGGTAGATCTGGAAACTGGGAAAAGCACGTGCTAAGAGAAGACATAGAAAAATATTTAAAATGAGTAATACTTTGCCCTAAACAGTTGGGAGCTAAGGGCGTCAGCTAGAAAGAGAGTGGGTGGGGCTGGAATTATCAATAGAAGGTCCCCAGAGGGGTGAGCGCTCCAGGAAACCGAGAGACACTCGGCCCCCCTTTTCCAGGTAGGGAAAACCCCACGCCCACGTGGGGTGATCTCTTTTCTCCCGCCTGGGCGCAGCGGCCTCACCACAGCTCCGGCTTGCGGAGCCCGGGCAGGAAGCCAAGCTAGCCTCAGGTCAAGGCTCTTTCCGCGCGAATGGTAACCGTCCCCAGCGTGAGGCTCTCGGGCTAGAGGCTTCGCCTGCAGCCCTGCACGGCTGCAGCAGACCACAGCCGTGTGAGAGGCATCCTCCACTGCTGGGCGCCCCCCTCGAGGTCCAGGTATTCAGCCCCGGCACAGCGCGTCGCAGACCCCACATCCTGTCTCCGCCGTCGGTACCCCGGCCTCACGGGAGTGGAAACCTCCCATCCCCCTCCCCACCCGCGCTGTAGACGTCCCGAGCCCCCGGGGGACTACAAAGCCCACAAGCGCGCGGGCTAGCGCGCTGTCTTCTGGGAGTAGTAGTTCCGCGTGCCGGGCTCTCCTGGCGGCGCGGCGCGCGCTGGACTCCATTTCCCAGGATGACTAGGCGAGCGGGGGAGGGGGTGGGGCAGGGCCGGAGGATGTGAGTGGGGAGGGGGCCCTCGCCCCCCGCCCCCCGCCCCCACCCTTCCCTTCCAGTCAGGCTGGGTGGGGGGAGGGGCCGGGCTGAGGCGGCGGCGGCGGCGGCGGCGGCGGCGGCGGCTCGCTCCGGGCGGGCAAGGGCGGGACTGGCCCGCTGCGGGCGGACTGGGGAGCCGCTGAGCTAACGGGTCCGGACGCTGGCTGCGGCGGCGGCTTTCTCTGCACAGGCGGCGGCGGCGGCGGCAGCGGCAAGCATGGCCCGCGCGGCGCCCGGAGCTGACTGAGGTGCGCGGGCGGGCGGGCGGGATGTGAGGCGCCCCGGGCCCCTCGCTGCCACGAACCCCCTCCGCTCGGGCAGCTGGCTCGACCAGCGGCGCAGACCCTCCCGGTCCACCCCGTTAACTTCCCCTGGGTTGGGACGCTGGGCTCCGCCGTGGGGCCGGTGGTCCTCTTACCCTGGCCTCCCTCCTGGTTGCCCGCCTTCTGCTCCTGCACCTCCAGCCGTTCCCACGCGCGGCTCTTCCACCCCGTGGTGGCAGTCCCCAGCCCCCCCAGCCCAGCGCGAGAAGCGCTCCGTGCCCCAGTCCCGACTTCAGCCCACTGCCTAGTTCGCACCCCCAGCCCCGCGCGCGCTTCTGGCCTGTGCACCCCTTGGGGACCCTGGCTCCGCTCCTCCTGGCCACAGGCTGCCTTTGCACCATCAGCAGCTCTCTCCTCTTTTCCCTACCTGGCACTGCCCCGGAGCCATCCACAGTGGCCCAGTTCTCTCTGATGAGACCTAACAGCCTGACCTCCTTCCCACTTCGGAGAAACCAAGGCTTGGCACAGTGAACCAGGAACTTGGCCAAGTCCATGCCCCAGCCCTGTCGGGCTGGTCTGAGCCCTTGCCTTGGCATGAAAGAGGCATTTCTCCCCTCCAGTCATTCCTCTGTGACTGAACCAAACTTCCCAGTTGCCTGCCGCAGCTCCGTGCTGAGCTCGGTTTAGTCTCCCTTTTGGCGTTCTCCCACTTGTTTCCCCCTCCTCCTTCCTGTATTTAATTTCTGGCCTCCTTTGCCTGTAGAGTCCCCCACCCATCACTCGTTTACTCAAGTTAGCCATTTGATTTCTATTTCTTGCCAACTGCATCCGTCTCCCATCTTGCCTCTTGCTTTACAGCTACAGTGAAACACTGAAGAACAGAGTCTACGGTGGTGTTGGGGGGAAAGGAGAGAGGTGCTGGTGGTGGGAAGGGAGTGGCAGCCTCTTTCAGCTAAAGCTGCTGAGGGGGCTCAGGGCACTCTGGAGTCCCTGCGTCAGTCAGTCCTAGCCAGTGATGCACACTCCCATCTTGTCTTTGGGACAGTTGTCTGGAAGCTGGTTGGTCATTTCTTCCTCTTGTTATGCGTGGTGGACTCCACCATCTCTCAGAGATGGAGGGAACCTCCCACATTGGTGGAGATGGCGGCATAAGAGAAGTCTGGGAGACCACACCCCTAACCCTCATCTTGCTTCTGCTGCTAACTTTGGAGATGGTTGCCGGCAAAAGGAAGGATGCCTGCTAGGTGCCCCCTGAGCTCTTTGTGGAGGAAGATGTAGTGACTGTAGGTGGTGATCTCAAGTTTATTCGTGGTATTCAGGGTTTGAAGGAAAGAGGGAGCCAGGGCTCAGAGAGGTGGTGGAGACTTGCCTGTATCAGTTTTGTGTTTTTTTGGTTTAGTTTTGTTTTATCTTCCTTCGGCAGATTTGCCTATGGGTCATCCCTTCCTAGCCCAGTTTTCAGTTTCCCAGTGGGAAGTTGGGGGAGGGAGGGAAATCTATGAGCCATCATGAAGGCAGGCTCTGGGAGTTCCGTTGGGGTCCTGAATGAGCAATCTTGATCTGAACCAGATGGTTCCCTGCTTCAGCACCCCCTCTCTCATCCCTCCCCTTTGGCTGTGAATAGGACGTCTTTAACCCTGTAACTTGAGAATGGAGGCAGGGAGGCCAGGGGGCCAGCTGTCTGTGTGCGTGTTTATGTCTGCATCTGCGCTTACCATGTGAGCTTTCCAGGGGCCTGTGGGAGTGACCCTGCATGGGAGTGCAGTGCCATGATGTGCTGTGGCATGCTCACAGCCCTCTAGGAACTTTCCGAGCCCAGACCCCACATGGGGTCAATTTCTCAGCTGCTAAGAACCACTGGTTGTCGCCTCATGGTCCGTTTCCCCACAAGCCAAACCTCTGGACCTGAATGATGCCTCAGGGTGAGGATCACTCTTATTTTGAAAACTACCTGCAGTTATGAGGAGTCTCAAAGAGAAGCCTGGGGTGGGGGGCGGGTTTCCTTGAACTGGAGTTCCCCCTTACCAACATGGAAAGAGAAGAGCTGGCGGAGGGAGGAGGAGCTGGCGAGAGGGGTGAGAAGCTGATTCCTTTGCCTTGTTCTATACCTCATCCTGCCTTGTGTATTGTGTACTTGATTTTGAGCCCCCGCCCCCCGCCGGCTATTAGACTGTGGAAGTTCTTCAGATGTGTCCTTGTTTCTGAAATATCACCCCACAGCTCGGTCCTTGGCACAGAGTAGGTGTTCAGTAATCCCCCTGAAGAGCTGTGTAAAGCGCAGTTTGCTGGGCCCCACTCCCAGACGTTTCTGATTCAGGCAGTCTGGGTGTGGCCTGAGATTTTATTTCTGTCCGGCTTCCTGACCATAGCACTTGAGAACCACTGGTTTGGGGCCATGAGAGTTGCCTGGGTGATTAATTCAGGCCCATGTAAGGTCTTCAATCCCACCTTGTTTCCCCACCCAGGACTGTTCTGGCAGCTTCCCTGGATTGGTCTTTTCCTTCCATTCCCATGCTTTCCAGTGTGGGTTAGATTAATGGTCGGGGTGACTTGTAGGGCCTTAGCTCCCAGTCCCCCATAACCACATAGCAGACACTGTACTGTGGCCATTTGAAGGAAGGACCCTCCGCCCCCAAAGTAGGACGTTCAGGCACCAGGGCTTTGGAAAAGGGGTAGCTGCGAGGACATGGGGAAGCAGACACTGAACCAGGCGCTCCTCTGCCCCGCCCCTCAGACTGAGCGGGTTGGCTGGCCATGGCTGCACACTGGACAGGGTGCCCCGGACTCTCTGATTGAGACAAACAGGAGGAGCCCCATACATTGTGCCTTATCTCCGCCATGCATTTGTTCACCTGTTTTTCAGGAGGTTTATAAGGCAGAGGTACGCCCAGGTGGGGTTACTAAGAAACAGAGATGCTCTGTGGGTCTCACAACAGGCCCAGGGCTCATGATTTCAGTCTGCCGAAAGAGCACCTGCTAACCCAGGAGCTGTGGGCAGCTGGAGTGATGGCTGCTGTTCCCTGAGTGGTTTCTCTTAGCCAGTCGCCGGGCTGGATGCTCTTGCATGTCCGCTCGTTACATTCTTACAGCAGCGTTGCAGGGTTAGCATTATTGTCACTCTTTCACAGAGGAAGAACTGAGGCTTACAGAACTTATGAGACTTGCCTATAAACTCAGCTGGTAAGTGGAAGATGTGGAAGCCAAATGGGGTCTTTCTGACCCCGTGCTCTTTGTCACTCACTGTCTGTCTTGCTCAGAAAACCTTCGAGTTTGTAATTGACCTTTGAGTTGTCTGCCCACTAAGCCTAGTGAATTTATTGAGTCTGGAACTCTACCAGGTGTTGCGGAGGACAGGATGACCAAGTCCCTGTCCACTGGGATCGGGATAAGACAGCTACTCCGATGTCCGCAGTGGGAGGCAGAAGGGGCAGCCAGGGGCTTGTGGTTTTAGAGGAGGAGAGGTCATCCCCAAAGAAGGCTCAAAAGAGGACTCTGGGTTGGGCCCTGAAGGGGAAGGCAGAGTTCCAACAGTGCCTGCAGGCCAGGGAGTGTACTGGTCAGCAGGGGAAGGAGAGACCATAACAGCACTTTCAGGGAATTTTCGCTTTTGGTTGGAGCATAGGAGAGGTATTTTAAAAAGAAGTTTGGTTACAAGCAACACCTTGGCTGACTTTGGTAGGAAAGGACTTCATTGGAAGGCTGTGGGAACTCCTAGAATCTGAGGAATGACTCGAGACCCAAGTCCCCTCCAGGGTCTTTTTTAAAAGCAATTATTTGTCTTTTTTTTTTTTTCTAAATAGGTTTTTAAGAAATTATATATTTATTTTATATTTGGTTGTGCTGGATCTCTGTTGCTGCATGCAGGCTTTCTCTAGTTGCAGAGAGCGGGGCTGCTCTCCAGTTGTGCACAGGCTTCTTCTCGCTGCAGTGGCTTCTCTTGTTGTGGAGAACAGGCTGTAGGGCATGTGGGCTTCAGTAGCTGTGGTGCATGGGCTTGGTTGTTCTGTGGCGTGTGGAATCTTCCCAGACCAGAGATCAAACCCGTGTACCCTGCATTGGCAGGCAGATTCCTAACCACTGGACCACCAGGGAAGTCCCCCTCCAGGGTCTTGGAGTAGGTATGTCAGGAGCCAAAGGCCAGCCTCTTCAGGGTACCACTGTGGCCAGGATAACTCTGTTCCAGCTGTGCTCTGGGATTTTGTCACCATAGGTTGGGAGTCATATCCCGGGAGGAGATGTCTGGTTGGCCCAGACTGGGCCATGCCTCCTCCCTTGGCCGGGGAAGGGCTGGTGACACAGTAGGCAGTCCCCCCAAACTGAATCAAAAAGTTGGAGTCCCCAGAAGAAGAGGCAGTAGAGATTGCAAGAGATCAGTCCAGCACTGATCTCAAGTCCAGTGAGGACTTGACTCAGCAGATAGCAGAAAGAGGGCTTGGTTCCGACAAGTTTCTGAGCAGGCAGAGGGCAGGCTGGCAGCAGGGTATGGCTGGGTCATAAGGGGACAAGGAAAGAAGGGAGGGAGGAAATGGAAAACTAGTTAGGGTCCAGGTGAGAAGTAATGAAGACTGGAACTTGGCAGTAAAAATGGAAAGAAGGGACTGATTCTAGAGAACTATGAAAGTAGATATCTTCTGGAACAGACAGTCAGTTGGCTGGGGTTAGACACTTCCTTGCCTGCGTGATGAGGTCAGGTCCTTTAGTTGAAGTGGGGCAGTCAGGAAGAGGAGGAGTTTGCAGGAGATGAAGCATCCTTGCTTCGGAGGAGCTGTGTACAGGATGCTGACAGCGCTCCCCGAAGCCTGCTTAGCTTGTTACTCTGGACTCCACACTGCCTGCCTGAGGGGGTGGGGCCCCACCGCCTCAGGGGCCCGGTTCATTATGAAAGCACCTGGGGCTTTGTGGTCCGTGCTCAGCATGCCCGCATCTCTTCTTGTCTCTCCACTTCCACCAAGGGTGGCCTTCTCCTTCCTCCCCCTTCCCCGCTCTCAGTTTCCATGCCCCAACTCTCCCCCACTGTGTTGTCCCAATATCTGAGCCCTTACCCACTCCAGGAGCTGGCCCAGCTCTTTGGGGACCTCGGTTTTAGATTTTCCCTCCTTTTCTTTAGC